ACGTTTTCAACAGCATGCTGTTACGTGAATAAGATACCAATGAGCGCTTTGTTTTATAATTCTACGTTTAAATATGAAATCCTATTTCTTGATGAAACGTGTAATAATAATATACATATTTTTGAAACAATGACAATCTTTTGAGTTTCAGCGCAGATTTGATGTGAATTGTCCCCGCTTCATTCAGTGACAGTTTTAAAGTGAAAACCATATTGAATATTTCTCTGAAAAATGATTAAAATTACCTACCTTCTTAAGTAGATATTGCTGTAAGACTTGGACATTTGTATGTAGTAGTTAAAACAAGCCGGTGATAATTATTATGAATCAACTGTTCCTCAAAGCGAGCGAAGGACTGTGGTTTTACCTTGCGCGTCACGCAAACTTCACCACAAAGAAATGTTACAAAATATCTGCTGTAAATTCAAGCCCAATGTTGTATCTCTAGCCTTTGCCTGAATAATATGCTAATGAATGTAAACTGAGAGTACTTTCATCCTCTCTACGCCTCTATGGAATCACACTCGGAAGTTACGGAAATACTGGATGCTTGACAGTCCCTACTGATTGTGACGCGCGGGCTTCAAAATACGTGTGGAGTTGTCAGGCAAGTACTGTGTTGATGTGAGACCCCTACGCAGCTCCAGTCCACGTCTAAACATTAGTCTTTTGTTAATGAGAATGCTTATTCGAAGACAGTAGGAGTCAGTAGGAGATTGACTTATGTCACGCTTGTCACGCTAGAGTCCTCCAGAAAATTCTCCGCTTCTGACGTCACGTTTSGTCACACTTCGTAGAAAATGCGACGAAAACAGCTTCTGTGTATTTGGGTGTGTTAACAACATGTGATTAGCTAATGAATAGGCAAATTAATGGTTAGACACGATTCTTTAATACGTCTCAGTAGGCACTAGTAATAAGGTTCACTGGGTCCGGTGGAAGCATTGCATTGCCCTTTTATGGATATTCACGGCCAAGACATCATGTGGTCGAACAGAACTGTAGCTATTTTTTGCCACAATATTTCAGTTTGCCATTTGATTTATAGCGTGCTTTTCAGACTATTAATTCATGCTCAATTAGAGCAAAAATCAAACCAGAAAACAAATGGAGTTAACACCATTTATCAAGTGTCAATATTCAAAGATCTTACAGCAAGAGCCAGTTAGAAAAAATTCTAAAGTTGCTGCAAACGTTTTTTGCTTCAAATAAATATTTTGTACAACTATTGACCTATTTATGGTCACCCTGTGGTGTAAATATTATCTGTATAAATTAGCATAAATTATTTAGATTTGAAAAAAAAATGGCGGACAGCAAAACATTGTCTGTAGTTGAGTTTTTCGATCTCCCATGGGAGGATGTTGTATTTTCGCACATTTTCAAGTACTTAAAGATATCCCAGATATTTAATTGCCGTCGTGTGAGCAAAACATTCAAGAAATTATGCSAAAACTACTTCGATTCCTGTAAAATATTAAATTGTTCGGAAGGGGGACCCAGGACCAAGATAGTGCCTTCTGAAGCGTTTCAACTGATGGTAAATAATAACACAAGTTTACAGCAATTAATTCTCAAAGGCTGCAAGGACACAGTGAATGATGATATTATTATTGACGTTTTGAAGCGAAGTCCAAGACTGCTGGCACTTGATCTTTCAGGTCTGCTTAATTTATCAAACTTGGTACTATTTGTTATTGCCGAACATTGTCAAAATTTGAAGAAGATTTCTTTGGGTGGGTGTCGATGGGTTGCTACGGACGGTATTATCAATCTTTCAATGTGTTGCCCTGGTTTGGAATATATTGACATGAATGGATGCTGGGAAGTTACAGACTACTGCGTGACCTCTTTAGCATCTTTTTGCAATAACCTTAAATTCATCTCCGTGAGCGGTTGCTATGGTATCACTGATAATGGTCTCAGGGCAATCCCWAGGTCATGCCCATTTCTAATGCACCTTGGAGTAAGTGGATGTTGGAGAATTTCTGATGATGCAATACGYGCAATAGGTGAATATTGCACAGAACTCCAGTCTTTGGMAGTGAAGGATTGCCGAGATGTTACAGAGGCTAGTCTTGCTAGGCTAAGATTGCGAGGAATTGCAATTGATGTGAGGAAACCACCAACAGAAGGGATGCCGCTYATTGGGAATGTCAGGATTGCAAGAGTTGGAAATGACTTTGTTCCATATTTGCCAGTCATTAACCTTAATATCTGAGCAATAAGCAATGTACAGCGATGTCATTTTGTGCTAAGCAAAATGGTAGTTGTAGTCCTTGTACTTTTTCATGTCTGATATTAACAGTACTTCTGAAATGTTTTTGCTTTTTCTAAGCCAAAATAGATGTTGTTTTGCTGTTTCCTCAAAGAAAGCAAAAATGCTTTTATACAAGATATTTTAAGGTCTATTATAATTGTGAGGACTACAACTACCAATATGCTTTGCTGCACAAAATTGCGTTTCTGTACATCAATGTATTTTTAAATGCAAGGACCATAGAATACTGTAAAACATGAGGATGGGATGGGTTTTCTAAGATCTAATTTTTAAAAAAAAAACATTCAAAAAGTGGGGAAATAAAGAAGGGACTTATTAATAGAGTACATAAAAAAATATAAATAATGCAAAGGTGAATGTCTGCAACCCGATTGTCCATGTCATTGCAACAATATTAATTGTATCAAAAGCTTTTACTTTGACATATATTCCCCAATAATAATACACCTCAAAAGAATATGGCTGACATCTTGAATTCTACTGTTTCTGAGTATCAATTCAGTTAGAAACTCTAGGATATCTAGAAGGATGACGCACCAATTGACTAGCTTTTTTATAGTTTTGAGAATGCTATGCTATGAGAGTCAATGTTATATAATACTAGATGCTATGGAGGTGTGAATTTGGGCTACCCATGTAATGTGCACTAAAGGTGCACTGAATTTAAACTGTCCCTTGAGGTGTGAATTTGGGCTACCCATGTAATGTGCACAAAAGGTGCACTGAATTTAAACTGTCCCTTGTTGCTTCTCCTCGCCTGCTATGAGGCTATCGATGAAGCAAATTAAATCATCAAAGAGCATCAATGAGTGATGTGATGAGTAACAAAAATTATAAATAATTTTGGTCCAGCATTTTTATTCTTGGGCTTCCTGTGTCATTCTCAAACATGAGGTAATACAAAGATATAACAAACAAATGAAATACAAGAGAGCATTTTTTTTTGGTAAAGTGATCGCTCTTAAACTGTGCAACTGTACAAATTAAATAGTGCTATTTAGTTGTAGTTATGATACGCAATAAACAACAACACTACACTCCTTTAAGACAAAACATGTTTTATTTTATCATTCCTAAATCAACTCCATTAGACTAAAATATCAATAAACTGATACCTTTGAGCATAAACACAAATCCACAAAATAGAGTGTACATCATTTCTAATGCTCCATTATTCAGGGGATGCCAACTCTCCCGGATAATCCGGGAGTCTCAAGATTTTCGACCGTTTCTCCCGGTCTCAAGATTTTACCGCTAAATCTCCCGGATAATGACGATTCATATATCAGTTTTTTGAAATATCTCTTTTCATCTATTAAAACCCAAATTACCAGTTGCATAGACTATCATTTTAGTTCTGAAAAAATACAAAAATCCCAGTCTTCTGATAACAATAACACTGCACGCCATCCGTGGCCATTTTCAATTGCACAATACAATCTATAATATGATTGGTTAAGATACATCCAATCAAATCACTAGTTATAACGAAATTTGATAAATGCGATGACATCATCGATAATGTTATGAAACGTCATTTCCGGTATGACGTCATCATTTTCGTTAACAAGATTTGAAAAGTTCGGGGGTTGGCATCCCTGATTATTACTGAGATCCAAGCACCATCTTGAAAGGTAGCCAAACCTTTGAGCAGCTGGCGGCAAGGCGCACAAGCTACATGTAGGAGCCAACTTTATTAACATTTCCATCAAAGCAAGACAGTACTTGAGCTTGAAATGGTAGATACCTCTGAATAATAATATTGTCTTAGGTGCGAATAAAAGGCATATCACTTCAGGGTAGACTTCTGCCTTGCTTCGATGTGAAAGATTGGTTACCTTTCAAGATGGCGTTGGAACTGTAAAATTGAGTACTGCACTGCTTATGACTATCTAACTAGAAGTTAATATCACTGACGAAGCAGTTATAGCTGTGTATCTCTGTTCCCACACCTCCTCCCTACAGGAAAAATTTTCTTACCAATTTTTTTCCCACAGTGGGAGGGGTGCGAATGGATGTACACAGCCTACAGAGTAGTGCAAACAGCAGTAGTTTAGATGATTTAGTTGCCATTAGTTTTTGTTTTGAGGATAAATTGTACTTAAAAGTACAAGCTCTATTAAGTGTGATCGATCAAACATGTATCTACCATAAATACTATTTTATATCATTGATATATATGTTGTTAAAATTTTTTCATTTCTAATAATGAAATCAGTTAATATGTTTAATAATTTCATATTCTTCATGGTTTTGGGGTTCCTGTGTCAAGGGAATTGAGAAAACTGGGATGGTTTAANNAGAACCAAGCAAAGTAAATATTCTCATTCTCAGGAACTTTTAATTTTGAAGGAACTGTGTAACTTAGGGTCGCTCTTCCCAAATATAATATCATATATACACATTGCTTTGTATTTCTATATAGCGCTGTCATCTTACGGTTGATGTTCGTTTGTTGGCTGTCGACAAATTATCCTACAAAAGATGAACAAACAGCAAATTAAAGTAAATAAATTTGAGGAAGCTCACCACACTTGCTTGAAAACATATACTGATCAAATGTGTGATGTCGTTATGGCAGACGAATTGTGGATTATTGCCATCTTAGTCAGTCAGTTAACCAAACATTATAATTGCTATCTTAGTCAGTCAGTTAACCAAACATTATAATTGCTATCTTAGACTATCAGTTAACCAGACATTATTGCTATCTCAGACTATCAGTTAACCAGACATTATTGCTATCTTAGACTATCAGTTAACCAGACATTATTGCTGTCTTAGACTATCAGTTAACCAGACATTATTGCTATCTTAGACTATCAGTTAACCAGACATTATTGCTGTCTTAGACTATCAGTTAACCCGACATTGTTTCTATCTTAGTCAATCAGTTAACCAGACATTATTGCTGTCTTAGACTATCAGTTAACCAGACATTATTGCTATCTCAGACTATCAGTTAACCAGACAATATTGCTATCTTAGACTATCAGTTAACCCGACATTGTTTCTATCTTAGTCAGTCAGTTAACCAGACATTATTGCTATGTTAGTCAGTCAGTTAACCATGGGTAGCCCAAGCTTATTACTTGGTATAAGAGAATGTATGTGAGTCTATGTAAACATTCAATTTATAGTCACTATAACTTGCTGTGTGCGTTATTATAGATACCGGTAATCTCTTTTTTTGGGGGGGAAGGGGGGAGACCTCCCTTCCCTTTTTGCATGGGTATCTCACCCACAAATACCTAAATGCAAATGTGTAGTAAGAAAAAGTAGAATAGAGGTTTATGATTTCCCCAGCTAGGACCTCAAAACACTCACCAATTTCCATTTCAACATTGTGATCCACTCCTCAGCTTCTTGAGATGAATTGGCGAAACAATAAAATGTTCTTGATGGCATCACTATCCTGCAATTATTTTTATCAAGATAAATAAATACAACATTATTTAACAACAATCGACCAGAACATGCGAAACTGACTTGATGAATTGAACAAATTTGTGAGTTTCAAAGGATAGATTATGAAAGATAAAACAGATTAATAAAAGGTGTTTGTTTCA